GTATAAAAATAAAAAATATTTATTAATAAAATAACAAATTTTAATATAAAGCAATAATGTCAATTTTACTATGTTTTTTTCAATTTTCAGTAATATAGTATAGGGATGTATAACTAAAACTAGTTTAATTATTTTTTTTAAACTATATTACTAGCTTTATAGAAATTCAAATATTTTTAAAAAAACAAATTATTAATATAATTATATATACAATTTTATAATTTTGAAAGTTACTATAAATATTTAAATATTTAAATATTAGTTTAATAAATATATTATTTTAAGTTTAGAATATATACTAAATAAATATTTAAAAAAATTTTTATTCAATTATTATATTATTTATTAACTTTTCAAAAATGTCAAAATACTAATTTTTTTTAAAAATAAAAATTCAAATAAGTAACCAATATAAAACCAGTTAGTAATATAATAATATATTATAAATATTAAAAATTAATTAAATTTAAAAATTTTTAATTAAAATTTCTATTGATTTATAATTAATTTCAAGTATTCAATAGTTATTAAAGATAACTAAAATATTTTTGTTAATATTCAATAAGTTAAAATTTGATTTAATTTGGTTATTTAAGTTTTACAAATAAATTTCATTAGTTTTATCTTTATATACTTTTAGTTTCATTTATTTTTATATTTATTATACTAAAATAATAAACAAGATCATATTCTATATACAATTAAACCTACATATATAGAGCATTACTATTAGCATTTTCACAATATTACATGTAGTTGATTTATTTTCAATTTTATTGGCTGGTGATCTAAAAATTTCATGTACAGTCTCGTCATAAGTAACCAATCCCTGATAACTTTCGGAAAATTATGTGTAATGCTCTGAAATTTCCGAGCATAAAGAACATTACAAACGCTGATCATTGATACTATTGTATGTCATAAACTTTCGCATCCCAAATATAATCAGTCATCTCAATATCCAATAATCTAATTTTTGACATCCAGTGATCCAATTTGAACAAACATATTACTATTCGATTCGTCTAGTGGAGTCGAATCGAACAGTAGTATTTTTGTTCAAATCGGATCACTGGATGTCGAAATATTGCATCCTAAAGTAGCAGATTCATTTTTTAATATTAACAAAAATGAATTAGCTAAAAATAATACCATTCGATTCGTCTTGACTAGACGAATCAAAGGTATTATTTTTGTTCGAATAGGATCACTGGAGATCGAGATATCAAGTCCTAAATTGATTCATTTTTTTGCGATCGACGAATATGAATCGGTCACTTTAGTAATATTTCGACATCCAGTGACCAAATTTGAGCGACAATACCACTATTTGATTTGTCTAGATAGACAAATCGAATGGTAATATTTTCGTTTAAATCGGATCACTGGACGTTGAGATATTATGTCCTAAAGTGACCGATTTATTGTATTTGGAGTATGAACACAATACGTACCCTATATCAGTCAATAAAAAGGTATAAATGATCAGCGTTTGTGATGTTCTTTGTGCTCGGAAAATTTTAGATCATTATGAACATAATTTTCCGAAAGTTATCAGGGGTCGGTTACTTATGACGAAGACTGTACATACATTGCGCCACAATTTACACAATCAATGATATACGTATACATATCGATATCGATAATTTTGTTTCACCACTTAGAGAAAACAAGTCTATCATTTTTTTGCTAATAATTAAAATTCAAAATGGGCCCAATACTCCTTTCAAAAAACAAAAAATACATCGTTACAAGTCAAACTGACATTGATATTCAAGAACACGACGAGAATGTGGAATTAGGCACTCGACTTGAAATACTCCTCCGAAAATCAGTTGACCAAGGCGGCGAATCATATTTCGAACAAAATTTCAAGGAATTTTGTGAACTCTATAATTTTGATGTAAATGAAACTTTCAACAAATTGTCATCGAAACCTGAAACCAAAATAAAATATGCATGTTTATTAGGATGTTTCTTGGAATTTGGAATTGGGACAATAGTGGATAAAGAGCAAGCTTTTCAACTATATAAAATTGCGGCTGAGAATGATGACTCGTTGGCGCAATCGTTTCTATCGTTGTGTTATTTCGATGGGACTGGTACAAAGAAGGATGAAAATTTAGCGTTTTATTGGTGCAATAAATCCGCAAAAGATTGTGCACGTGGACAATGTACCTTGGGATATTGTTATAAATATGCGGTCGGCACTGAGCAAAATGATCAATTGGCTTTTGATTGGTGGGTAAAATCAGCAACTAATAATAGTGCAATTGGAGCATACAATTTGGGACTGGAATATAAATCATTTAAATCAACTCCCGAAAACGAACATTGTGCGTTTATGTGGTTCTTGAAATCAGCCAGAGCGGGCAACACCACCGGACAATGTCATCTGGCCAGTAGTTACGAAAAAGGAATCGGGACAGAAGTCGATAAAGAAAAGGCATTCTATTGGTACCAGAAAGCGGCGGAAGGTGGAAATGAGTCTGGGCAATGTTCATTCGGGTATTATTATGAGATTGGGATTGGAACGGAAATTGATACGAGACGCGCGTTCTATTGGTATAAGAAATCCGCGAAAGGCAACGAAAAAGTAGGAATGTATAATTTGGCTAATTGTTATTTCTCAGGAAATGGTACGCGGCAAAATGAGTTGAAAGCTTTTTATTGGTATAAAAAATCTGCGACTGCTGGAGATGAAGATGGTCAACGAATGTACGCGCATTGTCTTGAGTATGGAACAGGAACGGTCAAAGACATTCATTACGCAATAAAGGAATATCGACGGTCTTTTGAAAATGGATCTATGATGGCAAAGAATAAATTGATTGCTTTATTTGACTTCTATATTTTTTCTTAGCATTAGAGTAAATAGAATACAATATTTATTATATAAATTAGATATTTTTATAAAATTCAAAATTACATTGGCTGCAAATTTTTTATAATAAATTTTATTTGCTAGCTAACATAAATACGTCAGACATTTAACAAATAATACAATTTTATTTTAAAGATAATAAGTCTCCTTTACTCAGTAACATACCACCCGGTAACTGGAGAAACAATAATTTCACCAGAATCTTGTTTAGCACCAAAAACACTAGCCAACAACTGTAAATTCCTAATTTCAAGATCATTACTAATACAAAAAGGTACTTTTATAATCCCACTTGGTACAGTATGAGGAATAATACTATTTGAATATAACGGTTCTCCATCATCACTATACAATAATAAAGTGGTCACCCGTCCATCTAAGCATCCCGCTGAGATAAGGAGTTTTGGACATTACAACACTCCAAAACTTTTCGTCGACGAAGTTTTGCTAAGCTTCTCCCAATCGGCTTGGGGGTGACTTTAGGAATACTGCATCCACAAAGACTAATGTAATTGAAATACTTTTTCATCGTATTCAATAACACAATTCTGCTAGCTGTCACAGTAACAGTTGTCGACGTTGTGAAATTGCATTATATCTTCAACTCACTCGTTTGTCAAGTCCATTGGTAAATCGTTTCACGACAACCAGCCAATACCGGTAATAGTTTTCTCGAATACGCGTAAAACATCGTCAACTCCGATTCCAATATCTTGTTTCCCACGAAAAAATGGCGAAATTTCTCAGGGTAGTAGTTGATGTGTCGACTGAGACCTTGTGCAACAGTCAATCAGGAGTGAGACTAAGATGTTGATGTTATGCTTGTAAAATGACACTTGACTAGTGAACGGTTCCCTGAGAATAGTTATCGGGTTTGGTTGCGCTATAGGATCCGGAAATTCGACCGAACAGGCGTGAAGGTTCGCTTTAGAGTATTGAAGAGTCGAAATCAGGTTGTTCATCAAGTTTGTTCTTGTCTTCGTTTAAAAAATTCAAAGGATCAAATGCATATATATGTACTATTTTGTCGAATTTGTAAATGCATAAGCCATATGAGACTTTAGAGGATCTTCAATATCGAATGACTTCTGATATGTCTTGCTGACAAGTGGTAGGATTTATTCATCTATCGCTGAGTCAAAATTTTTTAGAATAATATATATTCCATGCGAGTTCCAAGGTCTTATTTCTATCATTAAACTCAAATTTCTATATACGAACATGAATATCTATCAGTATGCACAGTATCGTTATACATGTATATCGATATACATGTACTGTTCTGCATATAATCATATGCTTCAGCCCAAACTACGTATGTCAGAATTTAATAATTCTGCCCGGAATTTAAGTTTCAAATTTAATAAAGTACGAACACAAACTTTAAAGCTTAATAACTTTTGAGAGTAGAAAATCTCAAAAAGTGTTTGTTATAAGCAAGGAGGAACGATTGTGTTGTATAGTACATGTAACGGTAATTTTATCAATGCTGCAGTTCGCAAATCTCAATACGTACACTTCCTAGAAAATTTTCAGACATTACCGTTACCGTCCTGACTGTTATCGTTATATCCTCTAAAGCATACTTAAAAAAAAGGTCCAAATTTGGTTTTAACTTAGAAAAAAAGTTCTGTGGGTCGAAATTACTAATTGAAAAATTTGACTTGAATCACTCAATTTTGCAAAAATGGTTAAATAATCTGTTGTCAAATTATTCTAGAATACGTAATTGTTTATTTTGTTTGGATTAATATTGATGGAGATAAAAATTCTATCGAGTGTAATAATAAAATAACGATAATTCCAAAAAAATAAGCGATTTTAAAAAAATGATTTTTTTTAATTTATACTGGTAAAGTTATTTATTGTTGAAATTTGCTAATTTGACAACAAATACATAAGAATTACTCAAATAATAAACTATGTTGCCAAACTAACAGCGAGTTAATAGCTTAATCAAATTATTCAATCTAATAAAATTTTTTCTTAAATCTTAAAGAATACATCTCATAATCCTTAAAAATTCCGATGCATATTTCTTATTTATGTCGAGTACTGTACGTACAAAGCTTAAATTGTTCTCCCACATCTCCATTTTCTGATTTAAAACCCACTAATAATCGAATTAACGTTGAAAAATCGATTCCAATCTACTGTAAACCTCCTGGATTAAAGGTTGGATTTTCACGTAATTCATTACTGATTTTATTCATAAGGGCTATTCGATTAAGACCTTCAAAAGGAATACGACAGCTCGATATTTCCCAGAATATACCCCTAAACTATAAATATCTGATATTTTGTCTTTCTTGTATTTGACGTCTATAAACATCTTAGCCTCAAATATACGGTGTTGCGCCTAAAATTCCTGAAGTGCTTGAGGTTTGGCTATTAATGTAGAAAGATCAAAATCCGAGATTTTTATTTGATCATGTAATAATGCTCTTTACATAAAAATAGAAAAAATACAGTATTAGCAAATCTCGATGAACTATGTCAAGCGAATGAAGACAATGAATGGCATCAGCCATTTGCTTTGCTAGTGATATGTTTTGCTAGTGATATCTTTGTAGCCCAGTCTAAAGTATAGCGTTTCTCTTTTAAAAATTTATACAACGTGCCCCGTTAAAACACTCAATATTTGATAACTACCTCCTTCATAAATACGTAGAAGCTATCTTTTTCTTTGATATGACATTTTTGAGTACAATTTTTTCGGCGATTGAACTGCACTCGGCTAAATAAACTTTTCCAGATGATCCTTCACCAATCGATTCTCGCTTAGAGATTTCTTCGTGAATTTTACCATCAGAAATTGCATCATCGAGCCATTCTTTTGGAGGTATTGTTACCGCCGGTAAATAAACTTCCTCGATTACGGTTCTTCGAGGATAAACGACGAAAATCGAGTCGCGAATGTCGATAATGTCGAATCAGCGTTTGTGTAGCGTCGCTGATTACCAAAACCGGTAGAGTTTACAACAACCACTACGGCGAATTCCTATCACGATCGTCCACAATACCGCAAGTTTCCCAATCCGGTAAACTCTTCAGCAGCTAATTCCCACCGCATTATCAACAAATACTGCTGCAGAATATTCAGCAAAACAGCAGCAGA